ATCGGCCAACAGGATTCGAACCCATACCCTTGTGAGGTGTGAGTCAAACCCTTTGCCAATTGTACCTACCTTTGTTGGCTCCAACATTTGATTGCTGAAATTGAGTAAATAATTAATAACACTTAAATTAACTAAATAATCAGTAAATCTAACATTAATGTTGATTTTCCTACACCTAAGATGACTAAGAAATAATCAATAATTTAATATCTTTTGTTAAATTTAAATGTTAAAATTTTGACTTTCATTCTTGACCCATGAACAATTACTTAAAATCCAATTAGATTTGAGCCTCAAAGATGACATGCGAATTTGCATAACTTAAAAAGTTAAAACACCCGTGGTATCTCAATTAGTAGCAAGAGAGTTGAGCAGAGGAAAAGAAAGATCTTAGTTCGATTCTGACATGTTATTTTTGGGAGAAGTTTAAATATCTTCACCCATGTACCTCTCCGCACTCCGGATTAGTCGCATAACCTGCTCAAAAAAATAATTAGTTGAATTAACTATAAATAAATAAAATGATGCACACACGAAAACATAGGAAAATGTAACATGTGATTTTATTTATTTTTTTATTAAACTCGATAATTTTACTCTTGCATCAAGAATAAAATAAATTCAATTCATAATTAATATATTGTAAATTAAAAAAAAAATCGTTTTTAAGTTGTGACGCTATTTGTAGAGTAAAAATAATATATTGTATCATATAAGTAATAAACCTTTTAGCAATTTTCATTTGTGTTTTTGTGTTATTAATTTTTTATAGTTACCTTTTGCCACCTGTAAAAACTAGTAAACTTTCTTAATTAATTAAAGGGATCATATGTGAATTGCGTTATGTTTGAGGGTATACGTGAAAGATTTTGGAAGGTAGTAGAAGGAATGGGGAGATCATGGCTCTCAAAATCTCCCATTTCGAGTCTGTAGATAATTTCATTTTATGTATAATTAAGATCTATTTTAATCCTTTACATATATATTATATATATATATATACATATATATATATATAGGAAAAATATTTCTCCAGCAACTTGAGATAAGTTTATCTCTGGCCGCCCCAGAACGACGTCGTTTTGTTTATTTATTTCCTTATATTAATTGATTCACCTTTGAACGGTTATGATTCTCTTTTTCTCTCTCTTCCTTTATTACCATTGATCCATCTTTGTATGATTATGATTTAGTAGCCGGAAATAAAGTTATCTCCGGCAACTTGAGAAATGATAAGCCCTGTATATATATATATATATATATATACATACATATATATATATATATATATATATATATGAGGCATGATCCTTTGACACCTCATCTGATAGTCATTAGATCAAAAAAGATCAATGGCTCTGATTTGTAAGCTTATGGCACCATTGATCTTTTTTGATCTAACGGCTCTCAGATGTGTCAAAGGATCCTACCCCTCTCTCTCTCTCTATATATATATATATATATATATATATATATATATATTTGTGTCGTTTTTTTTTTGAAAAACTAATATTAAACTAGTTCATTAGTTATATTAAATGATATTAAGTTATTTTTAATTAAATGTTTAATTAGTATAATTTTATGATGTGTAATAAAAAGACTAATTAAATACTTCACAATTAGTAAATTAAATTAATGTTAATTTTATTTAGAGAATCAAATTCATGTGGTATATAATTAAAGTCCAATTAGATTACCAAAAAAAAAAAAGTCCAATTACTTAGCCATCTTACTTATTTGAACAAACTACAAAGTAAGAAATGTATAGATGAATAGTTTTAGTTTTTGTTGATATCATTATCTTTTTACATTGTATTAACAATAATATTTGTTCTGCGAAAAATCTTGTTGTTTAATGATACTAAATTCAGTACGTAAAATGGAAATTTTTTGGAGTGCTACTATACATTGAGTTTTCGGTGCATCTTCCACTTACAATGTAACATGTATCTTT